AAATTATCAATTTAATTGCTCGATTTTCTAGTATTTCGCAAATAATTCCTGAACTATGATATCTATAAAAAATTATTAGAATTTTTTGTGTTTTCTTTTTGATGTGAATGAAAAGGTTCTATTAGTTTTTCTGATATGTTTCAACTTGATACATTTCTTGTTGGCGAAATTTATCATGTCGTTCTTTTGCAAAAAATTTTGGTTTCTGGAATGATTTCAAAACTATAGCAGTTACAGGAAATAGCAATTAGAATGCTTCGTGATTTTTATAATAATATGATAATAATAATTACTTCTTTTCAATATTTTTTTTTTCTCCCTTCAAGACATTTATCAAGGGGTGAAAATAAAATTGAAATGTATTTTCTGGATATATATTTTTTTTTGGAATATTCGAAGAGGATTGAAATTGTCTAGTCGATCACTTTGATATTTCCACTAGTTTAGAAAATCTGCGCAAAATAAAAAATTCCACATTTCTCGAACCATTTTAGATATCAATGAATTTTCGATATATGTAACAGTTTTAACGTGTTACACTTCTTCAGAAAATTGTAGAAAAACACTCAATTCAATTATTCGATTCCCAAATAGGAGAATCTGAAGATTTTCACGAGATCAATGAACGATGAAATCGATATTTCGTTTCCTTCGAAACTTTTGCGAACGACGGATTAACGGACAAACAAATGGATGGATAGACAGACGACAGAATTTACAGAAAAATTATTTTTTCGACGATGCCGATGATCATATTTCTAAAGAAACCAGAGATCCACTTCCTCAAATGAAAAGTAGGCCATGAAATATTATATTCTCAAAGGTCATAGTATAATAAGATGCGTAATTCAATAGCAACCATATTCAGTAATGGAAAGTGATTATACCTCAAAAATAACGATTTCTTGATAGGATTTCAGAAGATCCTTTTTCATTGCTATCATCCACTTTTTTTGTAATATTTCTTAATTGGAAACTTTGAATCGTATATCGTTGTGCATACGTTTGATGCATATGAGTTTGATAATTTGCAATCATAGTAATTTGTAATTCGATGTTTAAAAAATATGATTAAAAATAATACAAAACGTACAATTTTTTCCAAAACAAAGACTGTACTAGAATGATAGACGAGTTCATTGAAAATTATATTGCACCAGTTTCTCCACTGAATATAGTTGAATAGATTATTTTTGCATGTACAAAGAAAACATAATTCGACCGTTACCTTCGAACAAGAATGTGTAACAAAAAAAATCGTTACTTCCGTAACTGAAATATTACTTTTACGGAAAGAACTAGACATATTAATTGGAAGAATCCGCTTGGCAATATTTGCTTAGATGTTAAAAATGGTTTTCTTAATGTATAAAGTAAATAGATCCGACTGTAATTATTGAAACGTAAACAATAGACTTGTGATGTGCAAAGTTATCGTCTTAAATATTTGTTTTTATTTACTTTGAAACCAAAATTTTCAATAGAGTTTGTACAAAAAACATTTCATTATCTAAAGAACCAATTATGTACGGAAAAATAGAGATGACATGTTGGTAGATAAATGAGACAATGAGAGGAACACATTAAATTATGATGAAATAAATTAAACTACCTCTATTATTTTGTTTAGAATTTTTTTCAAATTGTTGTGGCATCCATTATTTTCAAAAATGTGAACATTCAATACAGAGCACAATAAAATATTGAATGTGTTAAAGGTTGAAGTTCACATACTGGAAAATAGTTTGTTGTTTTTCCAGAAGAAATAGCTAAACGCCAATAAACTCAATTAATAAAATTAATGATAGAATAATGTAGCTAATTTATCTTTAAATTAAACGACCTTTCCTATTCTTCATAAACCGAAGCATTGAATTAATGACAATCAGTAAGAAAAGTAGTAAAAATTTCAATACAGAACTGGTTTTCTCTCAATTGTGAGAGCTATTTTTCCTGCTTCACTCATGGTTTGAATATCAGTGCCGTCAGATACTGGCAAAATTTCTGCTATATTTTATTTACCGATATTTCTGTTTCAAGGTTCAAGCACAGGTACCAGAAGTGTCATCGCTGAAGAAAATTTTCGGACCAAAGTTCAATTTCGGAAATCGTCCCCCACCAAGGCACGACACACCAGCGTCACCTTGCCATTGTCGTAAGTATACATACTTGATATCGTTCAACCAATAATAGTCTGGGTCACAAGATCCCTTTTTTGGATTTCCTGTCCAAGGGCACCGAAAATTATGATCCAGGGATCATTCCATTCGGAATGACTTCTAGCAACTTTTTTAAAAATTCAAGAGGGGGCTCGAAAAATTGCAAAAGTTATAAACAATTTAGTGAAAAAAGGGGAGGTTTGGTTTTGTGCAAATATCTCGGAAAATATTCAAGATATTCGAAATTTGAAAAAAAATCCTTTAAGAGGAGTAAAT